AACATCAAAGACCTTATTTAATATGTCCTCCTCTTCCCTTATTGTGTAATTAAATATAAAAATATACCAAATCATCAAATAAGTGTATGGTAGTGAATGAAGCTTTGATTTTTCCCCCCTAAGGTGCCAAATTTGATACTTTAGAAAACTATTTAGTTGCATTACAAAAATAATTTTCAGATGCTCCTGCATTATTATTGGTGTTAAAGTAAATGAAAATAAAGAATAGGACTGAAGAATCCCTGAGCAGACAAAGCTAGTTAAGTCATGGAGGCAACTTTGCCTTGCTTAATTCACAAATAGAAGTGAAACTTGGGCTATTTCTTATAAATGCCTATTTTAAGGTAAAAAGAAACTTAAATTCATCCAATCAGAAGCCACCAACTAATGATGGTTACATAACTAGGAGATTTCCTACCAGGGTAAATCAAATAAGGTACTGTATAAACTGTACCCAGATATTTTCTTTGCTTTTTTCCCATGTTCACCCTGTGAAAGCCTTCTACTTGCATTCCCTCAGGGGACTGCCAAACGGTCTTTAGTTTAGTGCTTCCTGACTCAAGCATGAATTGCTCTTTGCTCAAACAAATACTCTTTTTTGGTGGGGTGGGTATTAGGGATTGAATCCAGGGGTGCTTAACCACTGAGCCACATCCCCAACCGTTTTTTAATTTTTTAAATTTTGAGACAGGGTCTTGCTAAGTTGCTTAGGGCCTTGCTAATTAATGAGGCTGGCCTCAAACTTGTAATCCTCCTGCCTTAGCCTCCTGGGTTACTGGGATTACAGGTATGTGCCTGTAAACTCTTTAACATTTTGTGCCTCGGTTTGCCTTTTAAAAGTGGTCAGAATGCATACTTTGTCTGACTCAGATAATTTGGCGATGGTTAAGGCATCCTAAGTGAAGGTAACACGTGTTCATCTTGGAATCAAATGAAACTCCCCCGCCCAAAGGTGCAGATGGCCCTTAGGACGGGTACCTTCCTAGAATATGTACTCATTGTGAGTCCATGATCTGTTAGGTTTCCAGGAGAAGGAGGGCTGATCCAGGCCCAGCACACAGAGTGAGGTGGCATTTGTGAAATAACAAGGACAACAGATGCCTGCATCATCTAGTGGATATCAAAGAGAGGAAAAATCATAGAAACTGATAAATGGTATACTTACATAAAGATTGAAGAACTGCATTAAGAAAGGCCAAGAATAATGTGCAAGTAGTAATAAGGACTGAGAACAAGGAATCCCATCCCAGTGCATTTGGCAGGAGCCCAGAATAGCTTGACAAATGCTCTCCTCAAAAGTGGGCATGGGGAGGGGACCCAGAATTGGAATTGTGTGTACACAAGAACAGGGTGATTCTTTCAGATGCTCTAGAAGAAAGGCTCCCACTGGTTCCTCATGGACAGAATGTAGATGTAAATTCTCCAACCTATGCTCCTTCCACTTTTCCACTGACATATCCTAAGGACAGAGAAGTGGAAAGCCCCTCTGGGAGGGCAGGTTCAAAGCTGCCTATTTTGAACTCCCTAAATTCAAAATTTCTTTGAAGTGACATGCTTGATTTTTAAAATATATGTGTATTTTCCATTTTTCTCCACTAATATAACCACATTTATTTCAGTATAAAAATGTTTTTACATTGTGCACTACCATGTAGTCATTTCTATAAGATAGATGTGCACTTTACCCACCTTGGCCTCCGACTGCTTGCCTCAGGGGAGTATTTACCCCAGTTTGAGAAGCAGGACCTTGAGGTATTTATATATCATTTATATTAATGATTGAGATATACCTATATGTATTGATATGTAAATACAATGTATATATTTATATATAAATTATATATACATTTAGAAATTCTCAACAAATCCTTTTGTTATTTTCATAAAAAAAAAATAGCTGGGCAGAGCCCTGTATGCTTGTAATCCCACTGATGCCAGAGGCTGATGTCAGCCTTAGCAACTTAGCAAGACTGTCTCAAAATATCAAGAAAAAAAAAAGGAATAAGAAAAGAAAAGAAAGAAAGCAACCAAACTTTACTATCTTGGGTGCATATATGATTACATGGCCAATGTAATTCTACATTATGTACAACCAGAAGAATGAGAAGTTATACTCCTTATTATGTGTAATATGTCAAAATACATTCTACTATCATGTATAACTAATAAGAACAAATAAAAATATATCAAAATAATATTAAATTTATTTTTAAAAAATATTTAAAAATGAAAATAAAATAATGACAATCTTTTTACTAAAGAGAAGAAAAAAGAAAAAAACTGAAGATCTCTAGGATTTGTCTATCTTGGTTTGGGTGCTATAAAAGTAATGCAGATTGGGTGATTTACAAGCAACAGAAATTTGTTTCTCAGTTGTGGTTGCTGGAAGTATGAGATCAGGGGCCAGCAGGTAGGGTTCTGTTAAGGGACTTCTCCTTAGTTGTAGACTGACAAATTCTTTTTTCTTTTTCTTTACATGTTAGAAAGAGGGCAGGAGAGTTCTCTGGGGTCCCTTTTCTTTTCTGTTTTCTTTTTGATACTGGAAATTGAACCCAGGGGTGCTTTACCACTGAGCTACACACACACACACACACACACACACATATATATATATATACTCACAAACACATATATAAATATATATACTTTTAATAAATTAAAATACATATACTTAATATATAATATATATTAAAAGTATATATATTTATATGTATTAAATATATATTTTTAAATTTTAAATATTTACATTTTAATTTTAAGACAGGTTCTTACTAAATTGCTGAGTTGGCCTCAAACTTGACAACCTCCTGCCTCAGTCTCCTGTGTAACTGGGATTACAGGCATATGCCACTGCACATGGCTAGGAGTCCCTTTGCTAAGCACACTAATCCCATTCATGAGGGCTCTATTCTGATGACCTCATCACCTCCCACTTTGGTCTACCATAATATTGAGGATTAGGATTTCTTTTTTTTGTAATATTTATTTATTTTTGCATTACAATTCTTAATATACCATTATATCATAATTTATCATATCTCTGATTATATAAGGTATTTTAACATATCAATTTTGAAGTGATACAAATATACAGTCCATCTCTCTCTCTCTCTCTCTCTCTCTCTGCCCCACCCCCATCTTTTTACATTATAAGATTACATAGATTCTAGAGCTGGGCACAAATGATTGATAATTACAATGAAGAGTTTTACATCCATACAAGGGAAGCAGTGCCCTGCACAGGATGTTTTCTAAAGGTGGTTTGAAGATATGTCTACAAATATTCTGATATTCTTCTCTTCAAAAGTAGCCTAGTTCATCTCCCTTTAAATGCAAGTCAAATTTGGTGACTGGCGTTAGTTTTAGGTGGATACATTAGTTTGTTTTTATGTGGTGCCGAGGATTGAACCCAGTGCCTCATGCATGGTAGGTGAGCACTCTACCACTGAGCCACCACCCCAGCCCCCTTATAGAATGTTCTAAACTGGATAGTGAAGTTGGCTAAGGTGGTGCTTGCCTGTGATCCCAGCTATTTGAGAGAATAAGACAGGAGGATCTCAAGTTCAAGGCCAGCCTGAGCAACTTAGCGAGACCCTGTTTCAAAGTAAAAATTTTTAAAAAGAGCTGGAGATGTAGCTCAGCAGGGTAACACCTGCCTAGCGTGCACCCTGAGTTCTATCCCCAGTAATACAAACGAAACAAGATAACAACAACAACAACAACAACAAAAATTTAAAGGGATAGTGAGTGACCAAGCTCAGTCATTGCTTCTTCCATCTTGCTGTCCTGAATGTGTTCTCTGGGGTGATTGAGTTGCCCTGTTGTAAGGGCACTCCAGCAGCCTGTGGAAATGCCCATGGGGAGATGCTGCTCTCAATAGCCAGCACTAGTGAGCTGGGTATGGGAATAAATCATCATCCCAGATTCCCTGCAGGTCAACAGGCCCAGGAAAGCCTTCAGATGACTGCAGCCCTATTCAACATACTGACTGCAAGGGGCTTTGCAGCTGTGAAATAGAATGGAAAATAATACGGAATGCTTTCCAGATTGCACAGTTAAGTGAAAAAAGCAAGTTCAGAAGAGTGTGTCTAGTATGCTATATCATCTGTAAGAAAGAAGGGGAAACTATGTCACACACACACACACACACACACACACACACACACTTTTGCAAAAATAAATGAAGAAAGGATAAACCACAAACTAATAAAAATGGTTACTTATGGGGATGAGAGAAGGGAAATGGGAGGGAGATGGCTCAAAGTATATCTTTTTGTATAGTTGTGATTTTTGAACTGTGTAAATGTTTTACATATCCTATAAATACAATTAAATAAAAAGAGATAAAGATCAAACCCTAACATTAAATACAACAAATACATGAACCCTAGCTGTATTTGTTGTATTTAATGAGAACATAGTATTATTTCAAGCAACTTTTTAATATAATATTCTAATTGTCTATATACTTAGTGGAATATAGTCTTAGGATTAAAAGAACTACAAAAAATCTTATATGTCTTTTGCTGTATATGTGTGTTATTAGTAATAAGGATATTATAATTTTGGACTTATTTTATGGACATTATAAAATAATATTGTTACTTATATAAAATAAAGAAAATAAATATATTAATGTTTTTAGGAAAAAAAATAATATAAGAGAAAAACAAATATAAACATTAAATAAAATCAGTCAAGAAAAAAATTCTTTGGATTTAAATTTGACTTTAAAATGTCAATATGAACTTACTAATTTTAAAAAATGCTGGGGCGGGTGTATAGGTCAGGAGTAGATTTTGTATTCAGAATGCATGAGGCCCTGAGTTTAATCTTAAGGTGGGAAATATCCCAGCTCAGTTCACTAAAAGGGTTGAGAGACTTCTTTCGGGCTAAGCCAATCTCTTTTGGGTAAATGTTCAATCTTTCAGGCATTTTCCTATTCTTCCTCCTACTCTAGCAAAGGTGGCATCTGGGAGGGAGAAAATCTGGGCACTCACCTGAGTCCTGCCTGACCAGGCTGCTTCCTCCTATGGCTCTGCATGGTGCGATGTGTCCGCTCCTCTTGGAAACAGTAAATTACAAACCATCTTCTTAATGGCCAGAGCCTCCTCTTCTGTTTGCCTCACCACACTTGGGTAATACAACCTGGACATAAGAACAATTGTTAGGTTATTTCTGAATGATGTTGAAGGCCTCCAAAAGCTAAAGGTAGGTAAGGGCTTTATGTTGTTGCCCCAACATTTGCTAAAAGTTGGCATGTTACTCTGGTATATGGCCTCAGCCTGAATTCTGCTGTGCCTGTCCTTATTAGCAAGCAGGCATCCTACTCTTACAAGCCCAGCTCAATCCATTAAATACTGGATCAATCAAGATAAGTCAAATTTGCTGTAACAAAGAGATCCAACAATACTACATTAGTTTAAAGTAAAAGTCCAAAGTTAATATCTCAAGTTGGCAGGTAACTATGCTTCAAATACTCAAGGACTAGGTTCTTTCTGACATGATTTTCCACCCTAAACCCTGGGTCTTTTGCTGTCCGCACATTAAGGATTCTTGTAATTCAGGTAATGAGAAGGCAAAGAGAATGCATTCTCCTGATTTTAAGATGCAGGGCCCAGAAATATAGGTATATACTCTTTTTGTTTTTGCAGTACTAGGGATTGAACCAGGGTTTCATGCATGCTAGGCAAGTATTCTACCACTGAGTTATACCTCTAGCCAAAGGACACATTCTATTACTAACATAGTCTTAGATGAAACTGACATGACCACAACTCTCTATTAGGTGGGTTGGAATTTCTTTTCTTTACTTTTTTTTTTTTGACACAATACCTTTATTTTACTTATTTGTTTTTATGTGGTGCTGAGGATGGAACCCAGTGCCTCACATGTTCTAGGCAAGTGCTCTACCATGAACTATAACCCCAACCTGGAAATGTTTCATAGCTATGTACCCAGGAAGAAAAATCCACCCCTTCCCCTATGCTAGGGACTGAACTCAGGGCCTCACATATGCTAGGCAAATGTTTTATCTTTGAGCCACATGCCCAGCCCAGGTAACAGCATCTTCATATTCAAGTTAGAGCCTGAGCTAAGAAAACCACTCTGAAAGATATATACAGGCTGCTGGGCTCATACACTCATATACTTCTATACACATAAGGGTACAAAGCCTCTACAGTATTTCTAATTAATCCATGCAGCTTGAACACCACATGGTTTTCCAGTTAAAAATTATTTCCACCATTCTTAGGCATATTAACAACTAGCATAATGAGGTAGCAGTAGTTGAACCACTTATAATAGGTCCTCTGGAACATAGAGACTTAAGAAAAACATTTCAGCTCCACCCTGAAGAGTATATTCCTAATTAGGGGACTTTAAATGCTAATTTACCATCTCTAGATTAAAATTAACACACACATATCACATTGTACCACTGATAGAACATTGAAAACATTTACACACACACACACACACACACACACACACACACACACGAGCACATACATTGGAAATACAGAAGATGTGGCACCAGCATTGGATGGGGGTCCATGTCACCTGGTAACATGCAGCTATCACCATATAAATATTCTTAAGGGCTTCTATAATTTAGGATTTTGTGAAGAAAACAAAAGAAATGAAGAATGACTGAACCCATCCTGTATCTTACAATTCTAGGTCCTGACATCAATTTCCATTTCTCCTCACTAAGGAACTGGCAATCAAGGTTAACCTCTGTGGCCTAAGGACTGTTTCCCAGATGGCCTGGATCCTGTTTCAGATTCTTACACTGCTCTTATCCCACGATATTTAGGGATGTCTACTTCTGTGTCTGGGTCTGTATTATAAATGAGAAAGTTCTTTTTTATCTTGACCCTGGTTCAAAATATCATTCTGAACGCCCGAGTCCCTATAAATTCCTTTATATCTGATTGCATTGTTCTTTGTGAAAGGGCAATAAAACTGAGAGTGACAAACACTTTTAGTTTCCTCATCTGAAAACTGAGTCGATAGATACCAAGTGCTTAGAACAGGACCTGGCACTCAGTAACACTCTATGGGTATCGTCAGATCCATAGACTGGTACTTTGAATCGTTTCCACTTTATTTTGCTGTTATAACTAAACCACTAGCAAATACTTCTATACTTTAAAGATCACTCTGGGCACATTGCATGTGCTGCTTTCCTTTAGGTAACTGCCAGGGCAAGGTCATATGGCTGCTGGGATTGTTTTGAATCTTGACATTAGTGAGCCTGTGATTCCAGGATCAGAAATATTACTTTTCTCTTGCCTTTTATCTGTTGTCTGCTTTTTAGACATGAAATTGACTTTTACATGAAGTAATAAATGGGTTAGAAAAGGAGAACTGAAATAATTTCTTTTTAAAGAACAAAAGTTCAGTGGGCAGCTGTTGAAAGTTTGAGAGTTCCCCATCTTCCTGCCTTAAATTTATCTGCCTACTATCTGTTCCCCTTAATAACTATAGATTTTTTTGCTGATTTTAAAATGTTCTGAAAATTCAGAGAAAATATTTTAAACTAGTTTATTAAAAAAAAAATGGGACTGGGGATGTAGCTAAGGGGTTGGACACAAGGCCCTGGTTCTATCTCCAGAATGGGGGAAAACAATGTATGACAGACCTTATGTAATTCTGGCTGTGAGGTTGTGTCACATTAACTATTCATCCATTGAGCTTATGATAAATATTCTATCATCATCTGATGGGAACTGATAGTAATGGCTAAAAGATATGTAAAATTGAAAGTATAATTTATCAACAAAAATTACATATACATTAATATAACTGATTGTATCCTAAAGTAAAAACTCTCCTTAGTAGGTTTAAAATAGATTCAAATAGTAAAAATTAAATCTGAGAAAACTATTTCCTTATCTTTCCAGACAATGTAGTTGCTGGGATAGTGACTAGATTGTTAGATTCTGGGGGTCCTGGTTTGCCTGAAATTTTCCTAGTGATATTACAAAAAGTCCCATGTCCCAGGAAACACCTCAGTTCTGGGAAAACTAGGAGATTTGGTTGTCCTAGCTAGGAGGAAAGGGGGCCTTACACGCCAAACTAGAAAGGCTCATTGACATAGAAGTTCCACGAACAGAAGGACACCAGGCACCATCTACCATGTTCTGTGGCATCCTAGGAACCTCTTCTTTCAGAGGGAAAAAAGAGAAGCCATAATCATTCCACTTCCCATCCCCCAAACATACCAAATCTAGTGTTTAGCATCTAGATCATCTTGTGTATTCGTCAATGCCATCCAGACCGTGGTTGAGGAGTGTATCACCTTGTTCCCTTAAGGAGATAAAATATAGTAATAGTTAAGATGGGGTAAGAAGGTTGAGACTTCACACTGCCTATAGTCACATTCCTGCTCTGCCCCTTCCTAGGTGTGACAACTTTATAATGAGTCAACTTGGCTAGAATGAATGTTTTCTGGGGTTATCCTGCCTGTGTGGCTCTAGGTAGGGAGGCCACCAGACACATTATTTAATCAAGAACCTCTGTGACTGTAAATTCACTTAGGTCTGAAAACTGGGGAAAAGGCTATGACTTTTCATTATGATGATTCAAGCAGGTTTTTGGCTACCTGTCCTAAGAGTTTTTCCATAATATAGCTCAAGCAATATACTAGACTGCCTGACTACTTTGTTCCCAGGGACATCATGATCAATTAGCCACTGCCAAAGATCTTCGTGAGCCAAGGGAAAAGACTGACAATATGACCCTGCCACCCTGTACTGCAGGTGTGCCCACACATCTAGTCTTGGTGGTTACATATTGCAACTCTGGGGGCTGGGGTTGTGGTTCCACAGTAGAGCGCTCATGTAGCACGTGCAAGGCCCTGGGTTTGATCTTAAGCACCACATAAAAATAAATAAATAAAATAAAGGTATTGTGTCCAACTACAACAAAAAAATAAATATTTAAAAAAATGTAACTTTGCTTCCTCTGCTCTGGAATTTTGTAACCCCCATGCAAATCAGGTAACCCTTCTCAATGGTGACATCTTTTATACCTAACTTATATCTAACTTACAAAGGTGATAACCACAGTTTCAAGACTGAAAGTGCCTTAGTGAAGGGACTTGTCTTCTGGGTCTTCTCCTGAAACATGGTTCAGGAGAAGTGTGCAGGTTGTATGTGATTAATCTAGTCCAATATTCCTGTCTCCCAAAGACTTTGGCATCCTTCCATATGGCGATAGGGAAGCTCTCTAGTAAGTACACCCCAGTGAATGAACTTGGCCTGATCTAGTGTTATATTCCGCTCTTCGTTCCCTAACATTTTTAGAATGTATCCCTGATTTATGGGGCAATATGTAATCTAAAAGTGTAGCACTAGTTATGGATCTGATGGCAATTAGGGTGACTGTGGTAGATTTTCAAAATGAGTAACCCCTTTGTAGGCCTATGCTTCTGATGAGATTATCAGAGGTATTTAAGCAAAGAAAGGCTAGTCTTCCACAGAGCGCAGCTACTCCACAGGACAGGGAAGCTCCAAAACTATAAATTCAATATTGCTATAATCTAGAAACCTGTACTGTTAAATTGTAGGTTTAATTTTCAGCAATATCAGTCCTTTGGTTACAAGAAATAACAGATGTTTTCTATAAGTACTCAAGTGTGCTCAGAAAAATCTCATTCTACTTTCTTTATAGTCTTCATTTAATAACATTGACAGTATAACAGCCAATTGGGCCTTTAAGACCATTTATTGGGTTGGCACTCTATCATAATTAAGCACATGATAGTTTGTGCTGTCCTTGCATTCCATTTCCCCTTGGCAAGGACCTTAGCACTGTGCTCAAATCAAAGGATAAGACCAACAAATCCCATCTTGTAAGTGTATCTCCTGGAGTTTCTCCCATGTCAGTTCTGTATCATTCAGACTTGGTACTAGACCAGAGTCCAAGCATAATTTGAACAGTGAATTTAATATAAAGAATTAACTTTAATAAAGGAATGATTATAAGGAGAAGGAACTTTTAAGAATATTGTAGGGCTAATAAAAGAACCCAAGGAAGAAAGATACTAGGAAGGGTCTCCTCAAGCTGGGATTCAAAACTTTTTGGAGATGTAGTTGTACCCACTGGATGGTAAACAAATTTGGGGAATTGACCCAGCCCAGAGCTTATGTATAGTTACTGAACGAGCAGGAAACACCCTCTTAGGGACCAAGAGGACTGACATTGGCCAGGAAACCATGATCAAGACTGGTAAATAGGAAACACCCTTCCAGGGCACACAGGCAAGGCTGGCAAATATTCCATTGTATAAGAGGAGCAAGACTGGTGGGTGGGCCTGGGTAGGGACTCAGATATCAAGGGTTCATTTGCTAACTGGGTGCCATGAAGCTGGGTGTTACGAGAAAAAAGTAGTTAATGGGCTAGGCTGGGGCTGAGAGCTGGCCAAGGGATTGCCTTCTATGTGCATAGCTGGTGCATTAGCCTCCTAGGGCTGCCATAATAAAGTAGTACAGACCAAGTGGCCTGAACAACAGAAATTTCCTTCCTTACAATCTGGAAGCTGGAAGTCTCATATCAAGTGTTGGCAGGATCAGTTTCCTTGGGGGGTCTCTTTCCTAGTCTGGTAGTTTGCCTTTTTTACCCAGTGCCTTCACATATGCGTGTGTATGTACAATTCTATGAGTTTTGAGAAACGAACACATACGATTATGTAAAACTACTGCAATCAAGATATAAAACATTATATACCAGATTTTCTCACACCCTTTTGTAGTTAGTCACCACTCTTCGGCAGTCACCGATCTGTTTCCTGTTCCTATACTTTACCTCTTCTGGAATGTCATATAAGTGAAATCATATAGTACATAGTTTTTTGAGTCTTGCTTTTTTCACCTGGCTTAACGTATTTGAGATTCTTGCATGTTTTGCATGTCGCTCCATGTATCATCCAAGGTTTGTTCCTTTTTTATTTCTGAGTAGTATTCCATCTTATATTTATGTATAAATACATGTATCATAGTGTATTTATTGTTTATCTATTGAAAGATATTTGTGCTTTCCAGTTTAGAGTGATTATGATTCAAACTACTATCAATATTCGTGGACAGGCTTTGTTATAAGTTTTCCTCTCTCTTGGGTGAATATTGAAGTGTGATATCCTGAGTCACATAGCCAGTACATAGGTAACTAAAGGAAAGTGCCAAACTCTTCTCCAAAGTGAATACCATTTTGCATGCTCACCATCAATGCATAAGATTTCTAATTTCTCTACATCTTTCCCATCTCTTATTATAATGTGGTATGGCTATAGACTATGAAAACAAGATCAGAAATCTGGTCTTCTTGTTGTTCCTTGAATCTACTCAGTCCATCCCTCTTTCAGCCTTATGTCCTTGCTGTTCCTTCTTCCTTGGAACTTACATGGGGTAGTATAGCCTCCATAACATTTCATTTTAAAGGAACACTTATCTACACACATATGAAGATCTGCTAAAAACAGAATGAAAGAGAAATTATAAAATTGTATACATTTCCCCTACATTCTTCCATGTATCCTGAGATCTTAGTTTTCTATTATTAACTAATTGATCTGTGCTAAAGACTTTCTTATTTGTAATCTAAGTGGCTTTGTTTAAGATATTCAGAGTGTGTATTTTTACTTACCAGAAACCATCATGTATAACCAGAGAAATAAAAAGTTGTGCTCCATTTGTGTATAATGAATCAAAATGCATTCTGCTATCATGTATAACTAATTAGAACAAATTAAAAATAAATAAATAGCTCTATATGTGCAATAAGAATTGTAATGCATTCCAATGTCACATATAAATAAAAAAATAATTAAAAAAGAAATAAAAAGAAATAAACACAAAAGATGAGAAAAAAATACTTACCAGATACATAAATGTACTCTGGATTTTGAAATTTTAACATTGTCTTTATCTCTTTGAGAAAATAGTGTAAACTGAAAGCAATTTGTTTATGAAGCAGTTCCACAATAGAACCTGACCTCTAGAGCCAGTAGTTCTCTTTATAGATACAGTGAAATATAAACAAAGTGAGAGTCATGATAATTTACTTTGTTTTTTTTTTAATTGGTTGTTCAAAAGATAATTTACTTTGTTACAGTGGTGCTTAAGGAAACTTAATTGTTAAATTTAATTTTTAAAAGAACAAGTTCAAGTTTTAAATTAGCAAATAAACAAATAAAAATCTAGTTAATATTTGCCTGCATTACTTTCTATTTATTTACATTAAATTTATGCTTTATTAATAGGTAGGGCAACCCTTTTAAAGTTCAAGCTAATTTTGGCAAGTTCTTCATTTTCTGTTCTGTTTCCCAAACCTTACTAAATTAAAACAATTTAAGAAACTCAGGCTCCAAAAGTGAATGTTAAAATTGTTTTCCTAAAATAAACCCTAAAAAATCAGCTCTCTCTTAAGCAAATAATTCTTCATAAATTGCTTATGGCAAAGGAAATTGTTCAGAGAGGGGAAAAATGCTGAAAATGTCTATAAACAATGACAGTATTTACTGGGCACAGATTGTGCTGTTAAGTTTTATATACATGATTCACTCAACAAATATTTATTGAAAGATTATGTGCTAGGCATTATTCCAGGCATTGGAGATAAAGTATTGATCAAAATAGAAAACATCTGTGCCATAATGGAGCTTAAATTCTAGTTGATGGGCTGGGGATATGGCTCAAGCGGTATCGCGCTCACCTGGCATGCGTGCGGTCCAGGTTCGATCCTCAGCACCACATACCAACAAGGATGTTGTGTCCGCCAAGAACTAGAAAATAAATATTGAAAATTCTCTCTCTCTCTCTCCTCTCTCTTTAAAAAAAAAATTCTAGTTGGTGAGGGTAGATAAAAAGAAAATGAGGCAAACAAATTCTATGTATTAATATGGAGAAAAATACAACAGGAACAGAAGAAATAAGTTCATGCCTGGTGTGTGTGAAGTTTCAGAAAATGAAGACAGAGGTTTCACTGAGATGGTGACCTTTGTGTAAAGACTGCAAGAGAAGAGGGAGCAACCATGGCAGTACTGAGGAAGTGCTCCTGGAACTGCAAGAGGCCAGGGGGGCTGGCCACAGCAGTGCTGGTCGAGGGGAGAGTGAGGGATGAGCCAGCAGGTAAAAGGACTGTCTGCCATGCTGAGGACTTGGGCTCACACAGGAAGCTGCTGGGAGGTGCTGAGCAAAGGCATGACGTGTACTGGCTTAGGTCAGAGCAGGATCAGTCTGGTTCCTGTGTGAGAACACAGTGAAAGGGGGCAAGGAGGAGGAGGGAGTCCAATTAGGAAGCTATAGTCTGCATTCTGGATGGAAGATGATGACTTGGACCAGGATGACAACCATAGAGAAGGGAAGAAAGGGGATTCTGCATAGATTTTGAAGGCAGAGCTTTTCTAATGTTTTGGATAGGGAGTAAGAGAAGGAGAGGAGTCATGGCTGACTGCAAGGTTTTGGCTAGATAAAGGAAGAATGGATGATGCCACTGCTAAGATGGCAAGGAGATGGGGATGAGAAAGTTTGAGGAATAAGATCAGGAGTTCAGTTTTGGACATAAAAAGCTGGAGGTACCTATTTGGCAGTGAAGTAGGTCAGGTTCAAGGAGGAGGTTTAGGCTGGAGGTACACTTTTGGCAGTAACTGATGTGCAGATGATAGTCAGGAGTCTGGATGAGACCATTTTCTTGTGTAATTCTTACATCACCACCATGACAGAGATATTATTTAACCCATTTAGATAAACAAACTGAAGCTAGAAAGGTTTGAATAGTTTGCTCCAAGTTGTATAATAGGTAACCATGTGTATTAAATGTTCATTCTTTTTATAATTCTCATGTGGCAATAACTTCTTCTGATTATGAGTAAATTATTTCTCTAGCTTTAGTTTTTTTATATGCAAGATCATGAGATAAACAGTTTTCTTTTTCTTTTGGTACCACGGATTGAACCCAGGGGTACTTAGTTACTGACTCAGATCCCCAGCCCTTTTTATTTTTTATTTTGAGACAGGGTCTCACTAAGTTGCTTAGGGCCTCAGCAAGTTGCTGAGGCTGGCTTTGACCTTGTGGTACCCCTGCCTCAGCCTCCTGAGCCGCTGGGATTATAGGCGTACACCACTACACCCGGATAGGAGATCACTGTTTTTCTAAGTGGGCTCTGTGAATCTTAAAAGAAAGAGAGGCTCAGAAGGCAGGTTTCAGCATTTCCACTCAGCCCGAGGGAAATGTCTCTGCCTTTCACCTGTACTTACAATGCTTGGACTTTATGTGAGAATATACTTGGAAAAAAATTTCCACCTTTTTATCAAAAGTTAGAAAAATTTGCTAGACTAGGTGGTCAGTGACCTCTATTATTCTACCAGTTTCATGTTTTTCTTCAATAAGCAACTGGCGCCTGCTTCTGCTTGTCTATACACTGTGCTCTGTTCTTAGTATTCCACTCAATGTTGAGAAGGGAAGGAGGGATAGGGATTTTTCCCATTTTATGATTAAAATGTCAGAAAACAAGAAGCAACTGTATGTCTATGGAGCCATTGTTTGCTTGCTTATCCATGCATCTGTCCATGCATCCATTCATCATCTATCATCTATTTTCACCATCCACCTCTTAATGTATTCATAAAACTGAATCTAGTTAGGAAATACTGATAGTAGCATAAAACTTAAAAGCATGACATACTAGTCTGTTTTGTTCTTATATGGCTGATTACCTTTCAAATCATAGGAGTGTGGGGAGAAAGAACAGTTTTTGAGGTGTGTTGGTTTGGCATAGTGAATTTTAATGTCTCCCCTAAGGGGGAGGAGACATTGCACTACCTACTTTTGATGATATCCCAAGAGATGTCTTGCACTTAGGTACAGAAAGAATTTGATCCAGTCTTGTCCTGGCTTAGAATATAGATAGGCATATATTGTTGGTGCCTCAAATTGTTTTGGGTGAGGATAGGGCAGAAGGTGGACAGGGAAGATGTTTGAGAGCCACTGGTAAGGGTATGGGTTTAAGTGCTTGATGACTAAGGTAGTTGGTTCCAGGCAGCAAGGGCCTCAAGAGCAGCCTGCACCTTCAGGCTGAGTAGCCACTGCTGTGGCAGCCTCTATATGCCTATTCACAAGCTTCCGGCTCAAACCATAGTTGGATCTCTCTGGGTCCCCTCTGTGAGGTCACGGGCCTGGATGATGTACCTGCTGAGGGGGATGTGGGTATTCCTGGATGGTCACAAGGAGGCTTCTGCCTGGTTCATGTGTCCTCTGGTGGTTCTCAAGGCACAATGCAAGCCCTGGTAGTGCTCTTAAAATCAACATTAACATTAAAATTCACTGTGCCAAACAAACATACCTCAAAAACTATTCTTTCTCCCCACACTACTATGATTTGAAAGGTAATCTACCATATAAGAACAAAACAGACTAGTATGTCATGCTTTTAAGTTTTATGCTACCATCAATATTTCCTAACTAGATTCTAATTTATGAATACATTGAGTGGTGGTAGATGCTTTCTGGCGCCTGCAGCATCTTCACCCTGACCAGATGGAAGCTCTGCCTAAATGTGGAATCAAATCTTGGATTAGCCGCAGCTACATACCACCTGGTTTATCTTGAATTCTCTCTGGGCTGGGTGCACGAGAAGGATTGCGACTTAAGAAGCCCCCTGTGTTGTCCCAGCTGTCTGCTGCAGGCTAAGTGCAGGGAGGCCAGTTTTTGAGGTTTTATTATGTGTCAAGAAGTTTGTTTAACTTTTTCCTCATGACAATTAAGTGAAATATTATTCCCTATATTTAGCAGATAAGGAAACTAAGGCTTTGAATGTAATTTGGCTGTGGTCACTCAGCAGATTTTCACGTCAAGATCTGTCCCACCCCAAAGCCAGTACCTGTGTATCAGTGCTAGCAACAGCTTGCAACTAAGTCACAAAAGCTTTCTGTTTGCCAAACTTCATTAAGGTTTCTTTGAATTCAAGAAATTACATTCCTTTCACCTTCTAATTTATAGTTTTATGGTTTTGATTATGCATTGCCACACTGCTTTTCAAGATGCTGTCCTTTATTGCCAATACTAAAGGACAGACAGATCCACTTTACTACATCCTTGTCACCACTGGGTACTGTCATTTGAAAACTTTTTAAAAAAACTTACCTGAATCAAATGTGGTGATGCACACTTGTAATCCCAGCTACTCAAGAGGCTGAAGCAGGAGGACTTCAAATTCAAGGTCAGTCAGAGCAACTTAGTGAGACCCTATCTCAAAATAAAAGATAAAAAGGACTAGGGATATGGCTCAGTGGTGCAGCACCCCTGGGTTCAATCCCCTGCACTAACAGAACAACCAAAAAAACCTTCAGTTGGTTGCTTTAATTTTCAGAACTTTGTCTTGGAAATTAATTTGAACATTTTTCGTGTTTGCTAGCTTGTTACCTTTTACCTGTATAATTCCAAATGAGAAGACACATGTAAGAGTGTTGAAAATGATGAAAAAATATAAAAACCTACTTGTTAAATGAGTGATTAAATTATACTACATAGATATGGTAATAACCTAGGCAGCCAATAAATACTGATATTTTAAAGAATGATTCAAGATATGAGAAAATATTAAGTGAAAAATGTATACACACAACCATATATTGAAAATGCAGTTAATTATTATTTTTTTAAAGTAGAAGAAAGCTGTAGATAACTTTCTGCTTCTTGTCCTGAAGATAAGTAAGGCAATATTGCTATTCTTGGTCATGTTTCTGATAATGAGCAAGGTGTGGCAATTATTATTCAACCTTACAGGAAGCTCTGATATCATTGGTTAAGAAAATATGTTCCTTCTATTGTAAGGTGGGATTATGACTGTTTTACAATGTGACTTCTTGGCAGCACAAGGATGGTCTAACTTTAGTGCTCTATTGGGGTTTATCTTTTCTTAGAAATGTAATTTCAGATGTTGTCCAAGGATTTATTATGCTCAAAGGAAGACAGGGAAGTCTGGGGCTAGTTAAATGTCTTCCTCTGGTCCTCAATCCTATTCTTTATTTTGGGAAGAATTTACGAAAATGATAATTTTCTTGCCTTTGTATTTGTGAGGACTACACATAGGTTATCTTGCAAATATTAAAAACTACAAATTATACTTAAACATGAATTAGCTTAAACATGAAATTTAGAACACCTTTCCAATTTTATTATAAAACCACATTCTAATAATCTGTTACCTAAGATATAACTTTTTGCTTCTTTCATCTTCTTTACCTATACTTTTACATAGTTTTGATCATGCATACACGAAATTATTTTTACTATGGTGCCTCTGTTATAAACTTTAGATGACATTAATGATTTCTAATGGTTGAGCAGGGGATGGGATGTAGCTCAGTGACAGAGGGCTTGCTAGCATATGCAAGGCTCTGGGTTCAATCCCCAGCAACACTAACACATATCTATCTAATGGTTACAGCTAACAACAGGTCTGGCAAGTGGCTCAAATGTTAGCTCACTTGATGTACAATAAATATTTGAGAGCTTATGGTGTGGTGTATTGGGGACATTTCAGCAAATAAGACAAAGTCCCAGTTGTCATAAAATTTTTATTCTAACAGGGGGAGACAAAATTTTTAAACTCATGTGAAAAGGTATTTATTATCACCCCTATTTGAGCATCTGAACCTCAGAGATCAGAGAATTTGCTCAAGATCATCCCACTAGTAGGTATTAAAAGATTCGAACCCAAGCAGCTGTGACCAGGACTTGAATTTTTAACTACTGCTCCACTGGTACTAAGTGCTCTGGGAA